GAAGTCGTAGAAGAAGAAGTATTATTGGTGTCCTGAAGAAGAGCTTCAGCTTGAACTAATTCTTCTTCCAACATCTAGTTGCTATTGCCCATACGGGGAACACAAAGACTAAAATGCCACACTACGTCTACAGGAATTCGGAACTTACCACTCATGAATTGAAAGGAATAGCAAAGCAATGCGACAGCGCTTCACCAGGCCGTCCGAGGGGCTTTATATAGCTCGCACTAGAGCACGTAAACATGTTGTGGTGCTCGGGTATGAGAATCACATGTGCATGCGTCGACGGCTGCATTGACTCGTGAGCGGAGGGTCTTTCCAGACTACAAAGTTTATGCTAGACGCAGCGTTCGCGAGACATGCTCGTGGGCTCCCTTATTGCAGGCCTGTCACGGGTCTAAGCCGTTCCCTACGAACTTCCCCGTCTTCGCGAACTTTGAATGTGATTATATCACGAGAATACCCAATCCAAAGCAGATATCGAGTCTAGAACGAGGGGTCGAACTGGAACTGCAGCCGTTGACTTATCTAGTCATATTTTTTGTGTTAGTATCTCTGAAAGGTGGTTGTTAGGCGGCAGAAGCGAGTTGGCACACCTTCTTTTATGAGAACGGAGGCATTTGTTCGCCGATGGGCAGGTGTGCATAAGGAGAGACACTTCTGTGAACAGCCAAAATGTGGGGAACCACTAAACTTAAAGGAATCTTCCACGGAAAAAGCTCCGCCCTCATTACCACAGAAAACGATACCTTAAAGGAATCTTCCACGGAAAGAGTGATCATTTTGTCTTGTGTGTAGGATTAGTATTATCGAAACTAACGCTTATGTTCCGTTCTTTTTGCTATGCTCATGAGGCTAGGGGCCTAAGGGGTATCGTTTTTCTGTGGTAATGGAGGCGGAGCTTTTTCCGCGGAAGATTCCTTTAAGTGAAAGGAACCCAGAGTGCGTCTTTCTTTAATTTCACGGGTTCCAACGTGTTTCGGAACCAAGATCATACGTGGTCCTCATGCGAGCGACACATGTTCATTTGCCAGCGCGGTAACAGCACCTCACAAGAATGGACCTTCTAATCAGTTTAGTAAAGACATCTTCACTTCATTTTGTCCAACTGACTCCGTCTTTTTTTCCCCTTCCAGTACTGACTAATTTTCACAGACGAAGAAAATTTTCTTCGTTCGTATTGCTCTTATTTCTTCGTACACGATAAATGATAGAAAAAAATTCGAAGGGAAAAAGGTTATCTGAGGCGACTTCTAGCAAAAAGAACTAGAAATTTGTTAAATATGCAATGTGTTAAGTGTAACATGACATGTCGATGGCGTCAGCATGCAGGATCGGGTGTCCCCCAAGAGGCCGTCGCGCGGCGAAGGAAGAGACGCAGATGCGGCAAAGGACGAGTCGCAGCGCGTGCTGTGCGATATGAGACGTAGTATGGTACACTCTATTTAACCTGACGCCTAACCGCTACAGTATGCGCTGCGACTCGTCCTTTGCCGCGTCTGCGTCTCTTCCTTCGCCGCGCGATGGGCCTCTTGGGGGACACCCACTACTTTGGAATTTTGGAGGTGGTGCAATTGCACCGCAGGGCCGAATGGGTTAACGAAGGATCAAAGGATGAGAAAGACATGTGGGTTGCTTTGGACCTTCGTTTTGGCATGATTCCAATTCCAAACTTATGAGACTATTTAATGCGTTTTTTGATGAGTTAATAACCATTTGCAGTCCGACAAGCGGCGCAGAACTCTCTTCTCAGCGTACGCTTTACTGATTATTCAGATCCACGTACGAGTGTCAACTCTTATTTTAGGCGGATGCCTGTCTAGAGCAGTTTGGTCCTGTCGCCAAATCACTACATGATTTTGAGATGAACCCAGGTTGAGCTGTAAGGGTTGTTGGCAATTATTCGCTGTCACTTCTAGGTCTCTCTGTTCCCTGCTCCGGTTGC